TTCCTCACCCATCCTTTCCCTCTCTCTCTCTCTCTCTCTCTCTCTCTCTCTCTCTCTCTCTCTCTCTCCCCCCCCCCCTCTTTCTCCACACCTGAAGTCAGGGATGCCCTCTGATTTTCTCACATGTACAGCAAAAGGCCTTTCCCAGATTTGGCAGAGGATAAGCATGACAGGAAGGGGAAAGGTACTGAAGCAGTGGCCCCCTCAGGCTACCTAAAATCATTAAGCACCATAATCATTCAGTGCTGGAGTTATCAAGCTCATAAAAACAGCACTATGCAGATCTGCTCTGGCATGCTTCCAGATGGTGCTTACCTCTTTCCGTGGTCATGTGAGAAAGGTGAAAATTAACCGAGAAAATCATTATCCTCTCTTTGGAAACCTCTCTTTGGAAACTTTGGAGGAAACTGTTAACATATCAACAATGCTTCATGCCCACATTTCTGCCTTCTACTTATAACCAATTCACCATTAACACAGTTTCTGGAAATTCATCATATGCCACTCTGTGTTCAGGACATACAATCTCTGTCATGTGGATGGGCTCACTTAAGTCTTTCATTAAGAAGACACTGAAGCTAGACATGGTGGTCCTCACCTATAATCCCAGCTACTCAGGAGGCTGAGGCAGGAGGATTTCAARTTGGAAGCCAGCCTGAGCAACTTAACAATACCCTGTCTGAAAATTAAAAAATAGAAAGGACTAGAGACATAGCTCTGAAATATAGTACCCCTGGTTTCAACCCTTAGTACTACMAAATAAATAAGATATTGAACCCCAAATATTTCATGCAATGCAAGAGATTGAAAGAGAGGCTAAGGTGTGGCATGGTATGGTCAAGACAGGCTACTCAGAAGTGAGCTTMCCCTGAAGAGAGGAACAAAGAATTCAGATAGGCTGGGAGAAAAAAGAATTCCAGGCAGACAGTTGTGTGCCCAAAGGTCCTATTAGGGATTCTACAACTGGCCTTGCCAACTAATGGCCATGCTAGTTTAAGGTCATAAAAATAAAAATTTACACAAAACAGTGTAGATCTCAGAATGATTTTAAAAGCCTAATGACGGTAGGATATCTGTAAAGTGGAGGACTCCAGGGAAAGAAGGAATAGAGATCTGGCATGGACAGCAAATTCTGAACAGTCTTGGCAGTCAACAGACCTAAATTCCAATCTGTCTTCAGGGTACAACCTGGGACTCCAGCGAGGTTCTTCTCTCTAAGCCCTGGTTTCCTCATTTGTAGACTGGAGATAATAATGTCAGTCATCAGATGAAATGAGGCAACACAAATCAATTATCCTGTTTAGTAGCTGATATGAAGATGTTCAAGAAATGGTGAAGGTTATAATCRTATGGAAAGAAACCAAGAAAAGCTGTCCAGTTAGATATAAATAAGGGATTACTAAATTACAATGTCTTTGAAGAAAGAAAGTTGAAGGGTCTAATCTGTCTTGTACTTCCATATTCTACCTTTCAACCCTTGGGCTATAAAAATCTAACAGACATGGTGCCTGTCTGGCTTAGCTGCAAAAAGGACAGTCTTTGTGGTGCTACTTTCTAATAAGCACCTTAATAATTAAAAGGAAAATTACCATCTTTGCTCTGAGAGAATGACAAGAGATTATTTTTTTATTCACTCGATTAACTCATTCTATATACTTCTACAGGGCTGGCAAAGAAGCTTTTCAAAAATCTTCATGAATGTCTTTGTAATAGACAGTGTGACCGCTCCTTTTAGGACCTTTGGATCCTTTTGCTTCTTAMGCCAGGAGCAAAAGGTAATGCTTTAGTCTATGATGTCCTAGAGGCATGAATCCTGATGGGTCTGAGAAAGGATTTTCTACAAAACAGGTAAATTAAGATGTATGCATTCATCCACTCATGTCTTTCCACTCATCTGTTCATTTATTCATATTTTTAAAATCAAACATCATTTGTGTATCTAAATTTGTGTACYTGCTAGGTAAAAGAGTACCAGGCAGAAAGAATCGTTGCACCCAATGGGCTTACATATATATGTATTATGATATATACGTATTTTTGTGATACTGGGGACTAAACCCAGGAGCACTCTTCCATTCTTTTTRTTTTTTGAGTCAGGGTCTCACTAAGTTGCCCAGGCTGACCTCCAACTTGCAACCCTCTTGCCTCAGCCTCTCCAGTCACTGGGATTACAGGAACTTGAARGGATTTACAGTTTAAAGAGGAAAATGAACAACTATCTATCAGAAGCCAACTAGAACCATGAGGACAAAATTAATTCTGSCTAGCAAGGCTTCTATAAGGGAGCTCATCATCTGGGCTAGGATTTGGACAGAGTTGGTATAGGTGGTTCAGCTTGACTCCTGGAAGTTAGAGAATATGTGTTTCACCTGGGATGGAGAGCTRTCTCCCACAAGAATAGCTAGATAACTTAAGGTGGCTCAGGTACAAAGGAGGATAGAGGTAGGCAAGTACTGGAATTGTGACAAATTTTGAATGCCACAGTAAGGAGTTGCTTCTTTTGATTATGTCCATACTTCCTAGTATGTGGTACTCWGAAAACTGTAAAGAAGCAAAGGAAAAAGGTGCAGTATCTTAGATAGGTTCAGGCTCCAGACCTCTTAAGCTTTTTGTTTTCTTCCTTCATGAGTAAACAAGGCCTTTTCTTGCCTTAGTTTATCATCTTCGGAACCAACCTTTACCCTTTCTCCTTCCCTTCACTGGATAACTAGGAATTAGGCAAACAAACAAGTAAATTATGAGAAAATCCAAAGACTCAGGCCATTGCTGAGGTCGCTCTTCACCACTTCAATCCAGCTACATCTGCTTACTGGTATCTGTTTACACTCTAATCCCAGAAGTGTTTGAAGGCCATCTTTGTCTAACTTTGTGTCATATAAAGGGCAGCTGGACTTCCCATCTATGATCTTGGTTCCATTTGGTGCCATCTTATTTTCTCTTGGGCCAGGCTGACATCAATGTTTCCCCACCTCCAAGATACACAGCCAGTATGCTCCCAACTGAAGACAATCCGCTAAATGCACGGAGTATTCCTCTCCACTTCCCCATCCTCAGGCCCTCCACTTGGACAATTCCATTCTTACCTTAGTTCAGATATCTCATCTCTTCTAGACAATACAGTAAAGAAATGTTTCCCCCTACAAACCATTTATATAGGGTGCAAGGTTCTCTCTGTGCCCTATCACATCCTTCTTAATATAAGCATTGAGTACCCCAACCTTGGCACCCAAGTCGCAATTTTAAAGGTCCATTTGGTTCTTAAAAGGTGTTCCACACTAGCCAGTTGCAGGGGTGCACACCTGTAATCCCAGCCACTCCAGAGGCTGAGGCAGAAGGATTGCACATTCAACACCATGCTGGGCAACCTAAGAGGACCCTGTCTCAAAATAAATAAAAAGGAGCCAGCRCCTATAATCCCAGCGGCTTGGGAGGCTGAGACAGGAGGATCACAAGTTCAAAGCCAGCCTCAGGAAAAAGCAAGGCACTAAACAACTCAGTGAGACCCYRTCTCTAAATGAAATTCAAAAAATAGGACTGGGCATGTGGCTGAGTGGTCAAGTGCCCCTGAGGTCAATCCCCAGTACACCCCCCMAAAWTTWAAAAWTTTTWAAAAATAAAATAAAAAGGGTTGGTGGTATTGCTCAGTGGTAGAGAGGCCCTGGGTTCAATCCCCAGTACAACAACAACAAAAAATGTATTTCATAKTAGATAATAACAATATCTTGCCTGAAGAAAAGGAGGAAAACACTTGGAGACAAGTGGGAGAGCAGAAAAATGAYGCTCCTTAGGTGAGGTAAGTTCAGTTGCAGCAGTCACACTTGGGCAGGGTTCAGGGTTACCCACTCATCYATCACAGCTCTTAAAGACCATTAAYTTGCTAGCCATTATCCCACCACATTTCCCACACTCAGTCTCTTAGGAGGAGGATAACACTGCCATAGGAGATACAGAGTAGTGTGTCACCCCACAGGTTAAGACTTCTATGGAGCAGGAATACAGCATCACCCAACTGCATTCAGCCTAGCACACAGTAGAGGAGTAAGCGATTCACTTGAGGGGGACAGCGGGGAACAGTTAAGAAAACCAGAAAATGTAGAAACTCACATAAGTAATAATCCAATTCTGGAGGCCATTATGGACACTGGCCATAGATGCATTCAGTGCCCCCGTGTCGCTGCTTTCCCACAACCTCTCACTTGCCCACTTCTCCCAACACGCCTCACCCCAAGCCTACACTCAATCCTGAGCCTCGGCATGTCCCCTGGGTGCAGGTCCCACTATTGCCCAGCCTCCAACAAGGCCATGTGTGGTTGGGAAGCCTCCTAGAGCTAGATGGCGACCCCTTTAGGGCGATGAACTGCTGCCTAGCCCTCCACCCACCCGTCCTTATTGTGCCATTTGCCCAGTCTGAGCGCAGTCAAAATCGCTAATTGAGTCGGGGAAAATGGAGGGGTGAAGAAAGGAGAGGAAGACATTTCACCAGGACCCAAGATGACCTGCTGCCCTTWTCGGAGTCCCCACCCTGACCCTGCGGTCCTCCGGTGGGGCTAAGGGAGCGAGCAGGCAGGGCAAGGGGAGCGCTGTCCGTCCGGGTCCACAGCTGCACACAAAGCCCTTCACCTTCTCCTGGCCTTCCAAGCTCCTCCCTGGGCTTCGTTTTTCCGAGGGTCTCTGATGCCCCCTTCGGTGGTCGGCGGGACGGTCCGACTCCCTCTCGCAGCGCTGCCTCCTCCCTSGCGTGGTAGCCTCTTCCCAGCCCCTAGCCAGAGACCCCAGAGGGAGCTCAGCCTCGGYTCTGGAGGCGCGAGGGCACACCGTGCGCCCGGCAACCCTAAGCCCAGAGGAGAGCGGACAAGGGGTGCCATCTGGGGGACACGACTTAGCCCAGCCTTTCAGCCACAGCTCTCATGCACACACCCCATCCCCGCAGTGATCAGGTCGGGTCCCTATCAGCACCATCCTCAGGCGGCGGGGGAGCCCAGCCACAGCCGTGCTCCTACCTGCGTTGCGGCGGGCGCGGCGAGGAGCGGGGACACCAAGCGTCCTGGCCCAAGCCTCGCACCGTGGCGCGACTGCCCTTGTGCTGCGGCGGCGGCGGCGGCTCCAGCAGCCGCTGGCTGGCTGGCTGGCTGGCTGGCTCGCTGGCAGACTAGCTAGCCGACTGGCTGGCTGCCCGGCTGACTCCTCACTGGGGCTTCCTGTAGGGCTGGACAAAGGACATTTCCTGGGAGGAGCAGGGGAATGTTCCCAGCATGCCTCGATTTGTAGTTCGCAGGGACTTCCTGCCACCACAGCAGTACCCCTGTCGAGGCTAGGACCCCAGGACTGGAGGGCAGGCATACACTCCCCTAAGTGCCGGAGGAAAGGGCTAACCTGTGCCCGGGGCCCTGGACCCGCCTGCCGACGCGTGGTGCCGGAGCTGCGCTCCCAGCACTGGCTGCAGCGTCCSGGTTGGACATCGCCGCAGAGCTGTCGCAGTGTGCGGAGGCTCTGCGGTGGGAGCGGCCTTTTCTTTAGAAATGAGGAAGTTTGTGGTGGGTTCTCTTTGAGTTGACTTTTTTTTTTTTTAATAGATTTTCTTTTTCTATTTTTATGCCGTCAGAATCCTGGTGGAGGCGGATTAAAGAAAAGAACTTGACTGCTCACCAGGAATTCGGGTTCCTTAAGATCTTGGCGCTTCACCCTTAAAACCATACAGGGCTGATTGTTTCCAGATCCTGACCCGGTGACATTCCTCCCTCCAAAGTTGGCCTTGGCCCAGACATCTTTTCAAGAAAAGCAATTTAATTAAGAGGTGAAAAATAAATTACGTGGATTAAACTTTAGACATGTAAAATCCAGTGTGCTGTTGAATGAAGACGGTACTGGACTTTCTGCTAATCTTAGCTCCATTCATCTTTAAGACTCAGCTCCCTTGATCCTATAAAAGCACACATGATGCCTAAGGTATATTGAGTGTGTGTTTGGAGGATGGAGAAATGAAGGAATGGGGACCTTGACAAGAGAGGAACTCCACTTCCATCAAGGATCAAGAAAGCTCTTCACAAGTTTCTCGAAATTTCTGGGATCCAAACCCTTGTGGGAAATTCAAGGAGGGGGCCACATAGTGGTCACATGACTAAAGGCTGTATTCTGTCAAGGAGAAAGAGCAGAATGTAATGAACCCAGCTAGGAAAGGACAAGTGTGATGCTCTAGAATGTATTTGAAAAATAATCAGACAGAAGATCACAATTACCTGTCCTGGCCTCCCTAAATCCCTGGAATTGGTTGTTTTTTGTTTGTTTGTTTATTTGTTTGTTTGTTTGTTTTAGTACCAGGGATTAGACCCAGGGGCTCCTAACCACTGAGCCACATCCCTAGCCCTTTTTTTTTTGTATTTTATTTAGAGACAGGGTCTCACTGAGTTGCTTAGCACCTTGCTACATTGCTGAGGCTGACTTTGAACTTGGGATCCTCCTGCTTTACCCTCCCACCGGCACATCTCACATTGTGAATCCATGTGAATTAGGACATTTGGGTGAGTATTTTAGCTTACTTTTAAGAAAAAGTTATCCACTAGATGAATGGCGTAGTTTTCTTTTTCTAGAACTCTAACCACAGAGATAAAGTAGGCTGGTTTAATTTAAGGTGGAGAATTGATGGGAAGCATGCAGATAGGATTGTCCACTTCCCAAAAGTTTTCATCACTTTATTAACTGCTCATATAAATTAATTTTACCCTGATGCCTACATTTTTCCAGCCCCTACAAATGAGTGCTTCTTTACAGTTTGAAGCCTGGTAACATTCTAATGATGCTCCCCTATTTGTTCATCGTCAAAACAAATAGCCTCTAATAGCTCTACCTGAAAAAGTGGTAAGTGTGCCTGTGGCATTTTACATGATCTGTATTCATTGAAGCTATCTTCTGCCTTGCTTCTAACACCCAAAATCTTCCTTCTACATTTCTAATTTCTGCTCAGGATAGTTAAAATTTTACTCACTATCCCCACCCCATACCAAATCTGTGCCTCTCCTTTGTTTCCAATCCCAGTTAATCCATTATTTCAACATAAATTTATTTAACACATTCCTCCCRGCACTGTGCCTGAGTAAACATATAACATCCAACAATAAGATATTCACTGAGTAACTGCAAGCTATGTCTTACCCTCCAGGAGTCTACACCCCAGTTGAAAAGACAGACATCACACAATCACTGTATAGCTTTCAAGTGCTGCACAACTTTATACAAGGGTTTGTGTTCTAGGACAATGGTGCTTTTACCATAAGCCCATTTGTTCCCATGGGGCAGGAGTGGAACCCAAGTGGCGGGAGTGGAAATGGGAGGGAAGAGATGCAGACAGTTAAAAAGGAACACGGAAATGTGTGAATTTGGTTGTGAAGGATTGGTAGCTTAGGATCAAAGGAAGGTTTTCTGTTTGTGGGGGCTTCATTTGTTTACCTTTTAAGATGAGAGATCCTTGGGAATATTTAAATGCTGATGGAAAAGGTCTGAGAGGAACATAAAGACGGAGGAGAAAGGATTAGCGCTCAGAATTAACAAATTCCTGCAATGGATCATGTTGGCGATGTTGAAATTGAAATGAATAACTTCACATTCCCAGCTAAGATATGCAGAGCCTGAGACCCACAGAAATGACATTCCTTTCTCCCTTGTCATGTGCCCTCCCCTGCCCTTCATGTCCTCAGGGGAAGGTAATAGACAAGTGAGTGAAAGGAAGAACCAGGCTTCCCCAGTATCAGAGTATCAGCTTAGCAATAGGTTTGAAAAGTACACAGCAACTTCAGAAAAGTCTCAACCTATATGCCTACTGATTGTTATTTTATTCTTAAACAAATAGTGTACCCTTGCCTTTTTTTTTCATTTTTTCTTCAACATTTTGAGGTAAAATAGATAACTATTTTCTATTTTTTTTTTGAATTTTTAAATATTTATTTTTTAGTTCTCGGCGGACACAACATCTTTGTTTGTATGTGGTGCTGAGGATCGAACCCGGGCTGCACGCATGCCAGGTGAGCGCGCTACCACTTGAGGCACATCCCCAGCCCCTAGATAACTTATTTTCATTCTCATATTTCAAGAACCTGGACAGATTTTTCAACACTTATTGTTTTGTTTGTTTGGTTGGTTTTTTGTTTGTTTATTCTAGTTTTATTTTGTATTATTATTACTATGTAGGTGGTCAGGAAGCAGGATTTATTGACAGATGTTAGTAAGGAGAAGGTAGCATAGTCGAAGCCCTCACAGTGTAGGGCCTTCCATTTGTCCAGGGGACAATAGTTGTGGATGAATCTGAGCCTGTAGCCATTGGGCATAAGCCATTTGTCAGCCACCATATCTTCAAATTCATCCTCATTAAACTTGGTAAAGCCCTACTTCTTTGTATGTGATGCTGAGAATCGAACCTGGGCCGCACGCATGCCAGGCGAGCACGCTACCCCGCTTGAGCCACATCCCCAGCCCAGCCCTACTTCTTTGAGATGTGGATCTTTGGTGGGTGGCCAGAGTGCTTGAACTTCGCCCTGCAAAGGGCCTTAATCACGTGTTTCTTGTTCTACAGCCTAGTGCTGATGGACATGATGACTTGATCAATGTGAACCCTGGCCACCATGCCCTGGGGCTTCCCAAAGGTGACAAGCATACCTGTCTGGAACTTAGATTGTGAAAAGCCCTAGATCAGAGACATGTGCATTTATTTTAAAGGACTGTCTCAAAGATCCCTTAGGGCAGCTCATATCAGCAACAGGCTGTGTACATGACTGAAGAGTCTGCTGTTTGAACACTGGGTGCCATAAGAAAAGAAGCCCAGTTGCCAACATGCTTAAAGTTTTCAAGTAGAAGTGATACATCTGTTATTTTTCTTAACCTGGCAAGCATCCATTGCTCCTCTTTTGGATAGCCTCACCTTTAGGAATAAATAACCAGCTTTCCATCTTTAGTCCTTGTGGTTTAGAGAGGTGCAGAGCCATCCTCTACCTCCATTTCAGTGGTGGTACAGGATCCAGACCTGCTAATGAGCCACTTCCAGTGCCGTATGCAGGATAAGATATAACAGGAAGTAGAAGTGAGGAAGCTAGGGGTGCGGGGAGAGAGAAAGAGAGACAGAGAAAACACACACGAGCAAATCTTTACAGTATTGTTTGATCATGCCTGAAACCAAGATACCCCTAGACTTTTTGTTTACATGAGCTAAAACATTCCGTTTGAGGCTTAAGCTATTTTGAGTTAGTTCTAACTTGTAGCTAGAAGAGTTCTATATAGCTGTACGTGGGATGTCGCAGCCCAGCAATTGGCTGGGTTGAGGAAGAGTGAGAATAGAAAAGATTCCTCTGTGCCAGGCTAAGGAGCGGAAATTCCTTTTGAAATGGTTGCCAAGAAACTGAACGAAAGGTGTCAGACCTCTCCGTGTCAGGGATAGAGTTTGAGATATTGACCAATGTCAGAATTTTAGAGACTTTAAACTACTTATAATTTTATAAATTATCTAAAGAAAGGCACATGATGATATTGAAACTGGCTGTGTAGAAGCAGAGAAAGAAAGAAAAGCCTGGCTATAAGTTTTCCTTCCTGCTACTAACCAGCAACCCCAAATGAGAAAGAGTCCAATACACCCAGTCATGCCAAAGAACTGAAATCTCACCATCCTGCACACAGTGACCGAAATGATGTTAAGGTAAASACTAAAAATGGGAAGACTATCACCCAGGTCTACATCAAACTCCTGCTGCTGTGCTGTCCCTATCTGAAGAAGGGAAGACTTAACCCCATTTTAAGTACAGTGACCATATAATTTATCGTCTGAAATGGGACAATTTTGAGTGCAAATAGGGGTGCTATTAATAATTATACTTAGATGACTGCTCTAAAGCAGGTCACCCTAATTAAAAGAGCTATCCACTAAGACACAGCCTTGCACCAGAAACCAATCTGTTAGTCCTCAACCATAGATAACTGTTTCAAATCACCCTGGCAGAGGCCAAGATGGCCACCATTAAACAGAAAACTGGAGAATTAACCAGCCCTAAGCCTGTCTTTAAGACTCCAGGCCAGGGTCTAGAGCAGAGATGAACTTCATACTTCTGAAATACAATATCAAGTGATTGACAAAAACAGCTCAGTTCCAAGAAAAGGAACCCTCCCCGATTTCCATCAAGTTGGGGTCATGGAGAAAAAGTCAGTAAGAATCCTTTTTGAAGTAAAACTGAAAGTAGTTAAATTGGCCAGAAAACTCAAGTTCTCTTCAGGGCAGGTAATTCTTGCTATTTCTAATTAGCAAGAATATGATACTTCCTCTAGGAGAGTCTCTGTGCTTATTATTTACCCTCTCCTTTGCTTTCATGTAAGAGTTACCCTATTTTCCCTTCCACCATTTTACACAGACTGTGTAGGGAGTGATTGAATTTGTAGTTTAGCCACAGGCTGTAGAGAGAATGAAAATCATTAAAACGTCATGGACTAGAAGCTGGGGACCAAGAAAAACCGAGACAAGTTAGACATGAGAAAGTATACACTCCCTTTGGAGCCCAAGAGGATGGATTTTCATGCATATGTAGGGTAATTTCATCCTATTGCGTAGGGATTTTTCCTCCCTCCACTCCCAGTACTGGGGACTGAACTCAGGGTTGCTCTATCACTGAGCTGCATCCCCATCCCTTTTTACTTTTACTTTGAGACAGCGTCTCGCTAAGTTTTCCAGGCTGGCCTCAAACGTGCAATCCTCCTGCTTCAGCCTCCCAAGTAGGTAGAATTACAAGTGTGTACCACCATGCCCAGAAAGTAGGGGCATTTAAAAAATCATGTGTATGGACAACCAGAAGCAGGAAATGGATCATAGTATGTATGTGGCTACTGCTTTTTGATGGCTCTCTCAGCATCCAATTCTACTTTTTCTTGTGTAAATAGCCTGATTTTTCTTCTAACCACCTACTTCTCCTTCCGTTTGGGTTTTTGTGGGGAACAGGGTGCTTTCTTCCCTATCTCTTCCTCTTCATTGTCCAGTTCCAGGGCTGGTCTTATAACCCAGCCCTGGCCAGTCTCCACCTCCCACACCCCACAGACTAGTGATTGGGTCAGGGACGGGCATATAAAGCAGAAGCTAAGGTCAAAGAAGCCCTCTTTCTCTGTAGCCACTGCTAATCAAAAAGATAAACCTGGACATGATGGAAAATGTACCCTGCATGCAGTCAGAGAAGCAAAAGGAAGAGCGGAGAGACGGAGAGAGAAATTCATGTGAGGTTTTCACGTGACCATTTCTAATCTATCCTGGTACTTTTCAATCCTACACACCACTGAATTCCCCTCCCCTGCCATTCTGTTTGTGTATCCAATTTGAATTGAATGCTGCCTATTTCAACAGACATTGTCCTGAGTAAACTCAGAGAATTGGAATGTTTTTCAGTATATTTTTGTGGTGAAATTACTCAGAAAAAGAGGGAAGGGAAAACAAGAGCGGTCAAAAGCCCAGACTTACATAAACATCAGCCATCCACCAAGAGTTCTGTATCTGAGGGGACTGACACGCGGTTGTCCCCAGCGTCAGCTCTCTATTTCCACAATCCAGGCCTGGATGGTTACAGCTGGGTGTTGTAAACCCACCACCTGACTACCTTCTAGGTTTTAAATGGTAAGTCAGTCGGTGCCTGACTTAGTTTCATCTTTGTATTGGATTATTTTCTTCAAAAAAAATAATATTTCCAACCCTTAAAGATATAGATGAGCCAGGTTGGTTTAYCAATAGGCAACCTACAGCTTCATTTTTCTGGTCTCGTGTCATTTTGTTTTGTTTTGTTTCCTGGTGGCCACTTAGTGTCTTCCTCTTCAGTCCTCTTTTAATCACATCCATATCAGGGCCTTTTCCTTTCTTCTGCCTAGAATTAACAATCCAGCTCCTATCCCAGCCTTCCTGTGAGTAACTCCTCATCCTAAACCTAAAACATCCAGACTCAGAGTGCTTGCCTAGCACGTGTGAAGCCCTGTTTTCCATCCCTAACACCAGGGAGAATGTAAAACTAAACCTTGGTGTCACCTCCTGATAGAGATCTTTCCAACCACTCCATGTAAAGGAGCCTACCTTATTCTCTGTTAGCTCTTTGCTTTCTTCATATTTGAAATAGTTTAAACTTTGTTTACCAGCTTTTGGTTTCTCTCCTGCAACTAGCATGGAGACTTCATGAAGATCAGAAACTGTTTGTTTTATTTATACTTTAAAAAAAATTTTTTTAGTTGTAGTTGGACACAATATCTTTATTTATTTTTATGTGATGCTGAGGATGGAACCCAGTGCCTCACACGTGTGAGGTGGGCCCTCTACCACGGAACTACAGCCCCAGCCCTTATTCATAGTTTTGTCCCAAGAGTTTAACACAGTGCTCAGCTATTATAGTAGGGATTCGTAACAATGTTCATTGAATATATCTAATGAATATTTTGTAAACAGTTGTGGGGAACAGCATCCATGTTCATTGATGGATAACTTCTCTTGGATATACTTTTTTACAGTAAACTTTTTATTAGAGTATAATGGTAAAAATAAATATTTCATTCATGTGTTCAGATTTTTGAAGCACATCTTGATCCCCAGAGGAGAATTTGGGGAAGAAGAAAGTGAAAGTGTTTCCCATCTGATCAAAGGAAGTGGAGGGAGGAGAAGGGAATGTTATCACTGGGATTAGCCAGGCTGAGGACTGTCCCTAAAATAGCCTGCCTCTGACAACATTTCCCCTAACCAAAGCCCAAGACCATTTCCTTGCTGGGCTCCATAGACTCTGGAACCTCTAACATGTCAAGAATGGAGAGTAGAGGAAAATCAATTGTAAGTAACAGGAAAAAAACTGGGTCATAGAAACCAAGGTATAGTTGTACTCAGCTCTGTATTCCAAAGATTATAAAATATTTAGTTTACTAAGTTTTTAAAACAAACCACTACCTGATGTAATGGGAAAACATTAGACATTCTTTCTCTAAGTTTTAAAGCAGGATAAG